GAAAAAGCCGCCATTTTTTAATGCACGCGCGCTAATCACGCGTGAAATTATGCGCAGTAGGGATGCGCAATGCAATACTGGGGAATGACCTTAAGAGCATACCCGCGTGCGCGTATTTTAAAATTAGGGAGTTTAAGAAAACCACGACGGCAACGGCAAAGGGAACGTCGCTAAACAAAAGATTTAATGAGCAGAACAATGGCTGTACACGTGCGTTTTAATTCTTGGTACATTTCTTTACCGTCCTCGGCAAAACAAAAACGTGAAACGACCTAATTCTGCGTTGTCAGGAGAACGTGAACCACGACGGCTAATTTTTTAAGTTTTTATTTCAAGTTTATCGTTATGTTCAGATTCAGTTTCGTGAAAGTTTTGAGGGTGATAAACAAAGTAAATAACTTTAGAGTACCGCGAGATTCGTAGGTAAAATATAAATCATTTTTTAATCGACGTTGTCCTCGGCGTCGCCGTCGTGGTTACTTCACCTCCCTTAGTTACCTGTGCATCCCTTTCCTCTTGGCCCCAGTGCAGCTGTAAGGTCCCAGCAACAGCCGTATGGAGAGTTTAAACAGTCAGGCAGCGCTGGAGCAGGGGCCTGAACCCCTAAAATATATCAAAAGTATAATGTCAGTGACCTTAATTTAATCTTAGCTTACAATTTCTATTCTTTTTCCTTGGTATCCCATACTGCTTTTCTTCTCCTTATGCCCCTTCTCGTTCTCCTTTACCATGGATAAAGTTCACATCCGTGAATCGTGATTTATTTCGGCAAGCTTCTAAACGTTTTCTAGTTGGCAGCTTCTCAAGCCAAACGAGGCGATAAACCATCCAGAAAGAAACATACGAAAACTGCCCATTCGAGCCTGGCTAGGAGCCGTTTATCGTGAAATGGCACATAAAAAAAAACGTTATTGACACTTACTGCAGGCCCCACAGCTTTTTGGGCACATGTTCGTCCCTCGTTCATTGCAGGCTTTTTCTTTGCTGAATCGTGAAATTCTTTGTCTGCAGTAGCTTGGGTAGCTGTCTTTACATTCTGGTGACGTAACGATGATTATTCAGTAACACGTCACTCCTGCGTTCCTCAATAAACTAAACATTACTGGTTGGCCGAAATGTAAGCTGTGTTTTCTGTATAATTCTTTTTGAATCGAGGTTTGACGTCCCTCACTTTATTTGACACAGCTTCTTAGCATTTCTTTGCTAATTTTATCTGGCTAGTTTTACTAATCACTATATATGATTTTAAGATCAGTTTCTAACAACTAACATACTGGCGTATTAGAGCGTTACATTACAGAAAACAAAAATTGCCGGCTTCCTTTGCGAAAAACCGGAAGTCGAACTGTTTTGAGCTATGCTTCTTTACTGAGTAAAGACGAACTATAATAACATTTTTTTTCCTTACCAGGACAACCCTCGCCAGCATACGACTTTGCTTCTGTTTTGTTATCCCAACAACAGCCATATCTGCTCGCTACCGTTGCACATTTAGGAAGTGGTACTGTAGTAAAGAAACAAAGAAAAAGTTTATGTTAATCTATTTTAGTCTTTGTCGTTATCATCCGTTCTATCTTCCTAACAGGTTCCTTTTATTTGTCGACGAACGTTCTTTAGTGCTAGGCTTCCTCCGAAAACATAAGTAATCCTAACTAAGCGGGTTATATGTAGCCTATTTTATACTTGTTGAGGAGTTTTTACGGCAATAGGTTGTTTTTTGTGATTTCTTCATCATAAGTCGCTATATTAGGCACTGATATCTTACCACAAACTTTGCAAGTCAGCGCGCAGTTGGTTGTCATCTGTTTCCATTTACAGCTATCGATATTCCTCTCGCGGTACATTTTGACAAAATACTGACATGTTTTTGTCGTCATGCGATCCTGACATTCTGTAGAAGAAAAGAGACTTCAATTCATTCATTATCCGTAAATCTAGCACAACAAGTGAATATCACAACAGGGAGCAGAGAGATAATCGATGACTTTCGTAAGCAAGTTATAGCGGTATATATTTCTTGAACTGCTAAGCCAGTGTGGCAACCGCCTCGTTCTCTCTAGCTTTCTCCGTTCAGTCCACTTAGTTTATTCAACTAACAGCAACTGAATGATCGTCCGCCATTCATAAAGAGAACAAACAATTCTATGTCAAGCTTAAAACAAAGCGAGAGAAAACTGGGAACATGGCAATCACTGAATTGGCAGGATCTTGTCAGACTGTGAGAATAGTCGAATAAAATTTTAAAAAAAACTCGCGTATGAAAGCCATTAAGTCTATATTTTCTGAGCAATTGTTTTTTAAACTCTTCAAAATTAAGTTAAAGAATATAACAACTTACGCTGCGCCGTTGCAAAAACAGTAAATGTGATGAAAACAACCAAAACGTTTGTCAACTTTGTGTTCATCTTTGGATAGTTCTGTCCTTGTTGATACCTGCTTTGTAGTCTCCGGAAACTCCCGAATCCTTTAACGTTTCACTTTGGGGCTGCGTTGAATTGTCTTCCACGAGTTTGCGATGCTCTTTTTATTGAAGAAGAGGTCAAAAGGTTCAACATGCGGGCGAACATTTTTTGGGCAGAGATACGGGGCGGTGTGATAGGCGTTTCGCCGCCGAAAGTCAGTGACAATTACGATCGCCGACGCGTTACGATGGTGCGGTCGGAATATGTGGGCGAATCGTTTATCGCATCGGTCCCTCGTCTTCCTCCGGCAATTTATTGATTATGTTGAGTTACTCAACTAGTGGGAGACCTAACAAGAATCAAACTGTCCAAACTGATGTAAATTTTAATGCAGAATTCAAATCAATGAAAACAAATTCTAGAAAATGGGCTGCAAGTTTGGCCAAAACGCGAATAGCCGGTCTACAAAACCTGTGCGGAACCCAGTGGACTGCATATCTGCACTTATGTCATAACATTCAAATAGAATTTTGCAGTATAATCCAAATGATAACCCAAATGATAACCCAACGATTTTCGTTGCATGTTTTGCCTTTTTGTTCCTTTTTTCACTTTGGATAAATAGTATAAATCCAATATTAAAAATCCGCTAACGCAAATCGAAATAACTTGGTCCTTTTTCCCGGCCTAAGCAGGATTTTGCGGTCGAGCGAAAAAATTTAAAAGTTAAGTGACCCATAGATAATTGTTTTAAGCAATACTGCATCATTAACAGAAGGGTTGATTTCCACGCTGATTCCTTAATGAATCCATGCAACATGTTTCCAAATCAGGGAAACCGATTTTAAGATTCTTCAAGATGCTCTGGTGCTTGGGGAAATGGATAGTTTATCAGTAATCTCAAAAGTAAAGTTTCCTAACCGATCCGTCATTGATGTGCAAATGCATTTGCACACAGAATTGTGTAATAATAATTATAATAATACAGTTTATGTTTCGTTCTGGACGTGGGTTCATCACCAGATGTGACGCGTACGGTATTTTAGAATGTTACAAGAGGTGGCTGGCCGTATTTCTCACATTGCGTCAGTATTGTGTCACCTCTGAGAAGTCTGCGCATGCTGTTTGCAAAGGAAGCAAGTCCCAAAAATGCACTGCAGTAATTTTCTAAACTCGGGTAGCACTTCCGGAACTGAAAGAAACTCTTTAGAACGGAAAATTTATACATGTGTGTTGTGCCAACGTTGTTGACCTTTAAATTTCACGCAATCTTGAGTTTGTGCGTCATTGAAAGTTTAAATGGCCCTGACGAACCTATGTGTGTTGAATCTGCAAAAATAACAACGTTTAAGAAAAGAACCGCCGATTTTGCAAAGAACTCTGTGCAAAGGTCTGATCGATCGGCTGTTGTTTGGTTCAGCGTATTATTTCTTTTCTGGACGTGCCATTTAGCGTTTCCACCCACGCTCTCCTTCTTAATTAATTGTTTTAACTCGGTCTTTATCTCTTAGTTTATAAAGTGTTCTTAATCTCAATGACAAGCTTCCTGTTCTAGGGATTTCTTTTCTTTCTTTATTATGACTCATGCAATACAATTTAAGAAGCGGAAAAATCTCGCGCTCCCACTTCACGGACAGAAACAAAACTTAAGCAGATCACTACCGAGAAAATGTGGAGGCACCGTGTGCCTCGTGTTAATGCGCTCGTCTCCGGATCGAACGGTCCGGGTTCGAACCCTGACCGGGGACATTGTGTTGTGTTCGTGGGCAAGACACTTAACTCTCACAGTACCTCTCTCCACCCGGGTGTATAAATGAGTACCGGCGACTTTAATGCTGGCGGTAACCCTGCGATGGACCAGCGTTTCATCCAGGGGGCAGTAGAAATACTCCTAGTCGCTCCATGCTAAAGAAACCGGGATGAGCACTGGTCTGATGGGCCACTTGAATCATATACAAGACTTTACCTTATATTTTACTGAGAAAATACAACTTTTTGACAAATAAGTTGAAACCGATCTTTCTGTCTTCCAAAACGAACGCACTACCAAGTTCTATTCTCACCCCTATAGCCTGCGAGTGTGCCAGACTTTACTTTTTCGATCAATAGTCGTCGCAATAGCGGCGAGAAAGTCAACATTTGTTTGAAACATTCCGCTAAGTGCTTGAAAAAGAAGAAACGTTTGTTTTAAATCAGTAGAAATGTCTCACTCTCATAAGAATATCAACCAAATCAGACATGTTAAAACTCGGATGGAACCACAGACTGTTCAACAGCTTTCATTTGAGTGGTCACACACTCAGGATAAATGCACAAACGTAAAAGTTAGAACCACCTTCAATAAACAGTACCACGTGAAATAGGTTTTCTTTTGAGTGGTAACACACAAGGGTTTCATCCACACACGTTCAAGTTAGAACCAAATTAAGCGCGTAATTTGATGAATTTCAGAGATTTGATTTTTCTAACTAGTCCCATGTACAAGGAATTTTCATCCTAATTTGGTATTTGGCTCAGTGGTTTACCAAACTCTTGGCCGAGAAGTGTTTAAGCTCACTGTAAGCCGCATGGTACGTAAGGAATGGAAGCAGCTAAAATTGTCGCGGGCTTTCTGGTTTCTGACGGAAAATGGCCCTTAAATTTAAACACGAACAGTATCGATACGAGCATTACGTTATTAAATTAGATTAAACAGGACATTGGTCGGGTCAATGCGAAGTTTAAATCTTCTTGCTTTCTTTTTTTTGCCTAATTAGATGATGCTCACTTTACCATGGTGAACAGACCGGTTTTCTTTTACATCTCTCTGTCTAGAAGTAAACTTTCTCCTTCGCTGTTCTAAATATACACTAGTCGTTTTTTTGCCTCAGGCGCAGTGATTATGTTTGTCTTAGAAATAGAAATGCTTGAAGATGAAATATCGGTCAGCTTGTTAGATTTTCATGGAAGAAAGACCGTTTTCAATCTGAACAGTTCAGTCCACGTCAACGTTCAGTATTTTACTCGCTATCGGCTCTGCTTCTATAGGAATGAGGCAAAGAATTCGAACAGCCGGCCGATAGCTCACGAGGGGCATAGCTTCAACTGAAACCAGAAATAGCCTATCTCAGAGTACTCCGTATAGTTCTCCTTTGTTGCTAAGGAACATGTCAAACTGTTTTCAGTTAACGTTTCGTTTTAATAGGGTTTGTTCAGTGTCATTGGAAACTATTACTATAGAAAATTAACATCAGTTGAGCCAATTCTGAAACTAACTCTTTGTCAACGAAAATCATTTTTTAAAAACAAAAAACAATTTTCGTGAAATTAAGTTCCTTTTAATGAATTTTTTGGCCAAATCGCGAAATTTAGAAACAATAACAATGAAGTAACAATAACTAAAGGTAGAAAACTGTTTATATTCCAGACTACTTTCGCGCGCTTCTCGCCCCCAGGATTTCACGCGGCCATTTTTCTCTCGCGGTTTATTTACGGTCTCACTCGACGGACTAAGCGAAAGACGGACTACTCGTAGTCTATTTATGTTCCAACGCGCTTGTTCCACGGTTCCTTTTATTTGAAAGCCTGTATCTTTTTTTCATTAAGCGATTTAGTAAATTGGTAAATTAATACATTGGCTGTTTATGTTTGTGAAGATAAGCGCGCGCCACAGTTGTCGGCGGCTTGGCCCCTTTTTCGTCCCCCTCAGTGGAGGGCAAATATCTTCTCTTATCAGATGGAATCTTAATTGATATACGGATGCACCTTGAGGATAATGAAACTTGCTGACTACTTCAAGTCGCTCCTTTTTTCCCGCAAGGCCCGCCAGAAAATTCAGCACGTGTACTACAAGTGCGCAATCTCGTCTCATAAAATATTTCTAAGTTTTTATTGCTGAAATGAAATGGCAATTTAGTTATACGATCTTATATAGTCGAAGGAAAATGGCTCTTATGGAGAGGAAGGGGTGTAATATGACAATTGTTTTTTCCGGAGGTGCAACAATGTTTTTTTTAATGAATATTTTGGCATAGAAATAGGTAACACAATCCAAATATATCAAAAAAAAAAAGAAAAGAAAAGAAAAACAGAAATTAATCAGAAAAAGAGACCAACGACGTGCGGTACGGATCAAAAAAAGTCAGATGACATTTTACAAATGAAAAAAAATAGGTTCTGCAGGCATCGTTCATCAGTCCTTGCTTAGCTGGTCCGCGTTTTCCCGAGGTGAATATAATTTTGTCGGTTGGGACGTGCTTACTGAACTGCTGTTGCCATTCTGGAGAGGTGGCCGTTGTAGCAAGTTTGAAATAATAGTAGCTGTAGAGAAAAAGTGGCAGTTAACGGAGGTTCCGGACTAAATGCGAAATTCTTAAGTTCCCAATTGATGTCTTGTACTCCTTCCTGGTGTTGTACAGCGCTCATATGGCACTAACATAATTAATATGTGCATGAAGAACACATGTATAAACTACGGTTGAAACATAAATTGAACTACATCTTTGAATTATAAAGCGTGCGAGGAATTTATGCAGTTGCAGCTCTATATTCCCTTTTTTCAGGCTGTAAAAACAGTTGATTAAATTTCTTACACACCGCAAAGCTCTTTTCTTAAGTTCATTTCTTTTATTGCCCAAACATTTAATATAATGTTCGGATGTATTTCTTGTGATTCGTTGTCATGGGTCGCAGATTTTCAAAAGAAATGCTTTCACGTACAGGGTTATGACGTTTTCATACCACTCCCTAAGTAAACACATGATGCTTTTGTTATCTGAAATATTAAGAATAACGTTACCATTTGGAACGTTCGAGGAATGTTCGGTAAGATTGACTGCAAAGTCAGCAACATCGAGGGGGCCGGTGACTTTATCTATTCGGATGATCAAAGTGTTACTAATATGCTACTATGCAAACCACAAAGAGGTAGGAGTCGGAAGCAGAGGTTGCCCGGCAAGTTAAAAAATTCCCGTAACACTTTATTTCCTAAGAATGCTAAGTTCCTCTTGGAACTAAACAACGAGCAATTTCGATTGAACGTACCTCTCGAATTTTTAGACTAATTTGAATGGGAACATACCAGGGTTTTATCCACAGACTAAAAAGTTTGAACCACTTTGTAGAGCATCATAAACAGCACCACTCGATAGATTTCATTTCAGTGACCACCCACCAGGGTTTTATCCACAGACTTAAAAGTTAAAACCATCAGTAAGAATAATTTACCAGCGAAATACGGTAAAAAAAGCATTAGTCTTCATAATCCTTTGAGTGCAGTTTTGATTGCTTCACGACGAATTGCCAAGAAATTCGTTATTGTGATTTGATACCTGGTGTCCATAGGGTATAAGGAGGCGAGTGGGTCGTTTATTGTCATGGCTAACTGGAAAATAAATCAGTGTAGTGTGGTAATCTCGTAAGAATATTGGCTATTTTCGACGGGTTAAGGTATAGGGCAGTATTTGACAAATATTTCAAATCCTCAGCTTTCGGCTCCATCCACACGACGCCGGAGAAATTTGAAAGCGCAGCTTTATTTCTACGGTTAGACCTACCGTCCACACTAATCCGTCACGAAAACGACGCTTTTCGGAAACGCTCTTCAAACTGGAGGAATTAAAAACGCTGGCTTTGCGTTTTACTGTGGAAGGAAACTGAAAATTTTAAAACCGGAACAATTTGAAAACGATGCCGTCTTGATAATCGTGTGATTTCCCTGACCGAGTCTTTCTCAAATACAAATACAAAATGACCGGTGATCATGTGTTGCGTTTTGAAATTTCTGCGGCGTAGTGTGGACGGAAAACATTTGATGCTTTTTCAGAATGAAAACGCCGTTTTCGCACATCTCCAGCGTAGTGTGGACAGAACCTTCCTCTCTTGGTTGCGGAAGCCCTGTTTATTTCTCCCCCGGCCACACAGCCAGCTCGAAGTAACCTCAACAAGGAAATAACCGGGATATTCAACGCGCAGTCTTAGTTTATTTTCGGGTCTATTATTAATATACAGCAATGTATGCTACCTGCTGACACACTTCATAACAAGTGCATTACATTAACATACATCTTGTTATATTCACAAGCTTTTCAACTTTACAGACAACGACTGACACAGTCCATTTACTGCTATTTACAGAGCACTTTGAAGTGTCGTACAAACACTGAAAATATATGTATTCCTCGAAAGTCCTGAAAAGTAAGAGAGAGAAATAATATATTAGCAGGAAAATTTGAGTTATTTAAAAACTAGGATGAAAGAGCAAAATTTGATGTGAGTCCTTTCGTACCGAGTTAAGAAAAACGGGGGAATGGAGCATGAGGAATGTGGAATATAAGGAAAACGTCAAAGAGTGGATTGAAGCACCGAGATGGTTTACTTCCGGTCAGAGTCTGGGCTAGTCATCCGATCAAAGCTACAGCAAAAACGCCTATGTAAGAACCCAATTACATATAAGAACCTGTTTTAGCCTGAAATTTGAAACAGAAACAAGGCAAACCAATACCCTTCCAGCTACAAAACATTTTTTCTAAGAAAGTAGAAACCTGTTTAAGAACCTAAATAGCTGAATTTCCAAGTAGGGCTTAACACCAAATATACAGCAACCTTTTGAGGCTAACTTGGAAAAACGCAGGTTCTCAAATGCGGGTTTTTACTATAACAGCATTTTGTCTTTTACCAATACCATGACCCACATTTCCCCTTATATTAGTTTTGAAAACTTAGTGGTTAGTCAAGACAGTATCTTTCTCATCACCTGCACGAATGGAGGTGTATTGATATTGTAAGGAGAATTTGTATTTTCACCTGTTCTGACTAGCTATCCTTGAATGACGACCAAATTATTTTGTTCCTTGCTCGGTTTCAGATGACAAGTGCTGCAGGTTTTAGGGCAAATGTCTCTAATTAGACCCCCGAAGTCTCCTTTGTGGTCACAGTATCCTCCGTAATCTCTACAAAGATCTTCAAACTCATCCGTGCACTCTGACAGAAGAAAATGGAGATTGAAAACTGAGTATGAATATCACCGATAATAAAATTTTTAGCTCATTATTTTTAATTTTTAGTTTTGACAGTTGAGTGGTATATGTAGATGTAATTTCACAAGTTGATGGTTTTCACAATTCTCATCACCTATCTCCTTGAAAATGTATCACAACTGTTAGGAGAATTTGGATGTTGACTTACCCTGAGTGGTACAGAAGCCGCAGGTAGCTTGACAGACATTCTGGACAGTATACAGCAAAGATTCATCGTGTGTCTCACACACTTCTGCTCCATAATATTTTATGATCTTGTTACAGAGTCGTTTATTTCCGTCTTCACAGGATCCTGCATTGAAGAAAGACAGTCTGGGGTCAAGAAAACAATGACTTAAGAAACTCTAGAGTACCCTTCGCTCGCAGGTGTTGTTTCGGGGTTGTCACGCAACGGTTCCTCCCAACAATGGAAGAGAGTGCGTGACGACCACAAACGACGGATGTGAAACTACAGCGCTTTGTATTTTTCGAACTTGCTTCTTCGAAAAGAAACAATGAAATGAATGTGTATTCGTTCTTCGGTACGTCAATGAAGTGTATTTGACAGTAATGAAGCTGTGGAATAGTTAGTAAGTTCTTTGTTGTTTATTGAAACTAAAAGCTGTTTATTATTTCCAAAAACAACCAAGTTTACTCCGCCGTGCGTTAAAACTAACAAAGCAATTTATTTTTGTTTCGCAAAAATAATAAACATAACAAAGATATAGAACTAAATCTGATTAGTAGACTAGTATGTATTGCTTTTGTCCAAAAGTTAAATGGATTAGTAAACACGCAGGTTATTCCGTTCTATTTTTTTCTTCTTTCGCGCTTCTAAAGTGATCTCCATTTGCTATTTTAACAGTCACCTCTGTTTCTGAACTGAAAAGAAGGGGTTTTCGAGTGCGCCAAAACAATACTATCGTTGATGTCCAGAAATCTGTTATGAATGTGACTTATCGTAATCTTTGGCATACTGGTATTATCAAGAAATGAAACCGCACTTGACTAGTTTATATAGTTCTAACCCAACCTCGTTTCCAGGGTCCTCTCTCTAATCCGAGAAAGTGGAAAAGAGATGGAGAGACCTTGGAAACCAGGTTGGTTCTAAGTGTGTTGACATCCTAAAATTTCCCTTGTAATTCTTGCTCCACTGACTCATAAAGCGTTTTCTAGGTCGCTGATTTCCTGACCCATATATATCTGGTATATTTTCTCGTTCACTCAAACAAGAAATCGAGTTTTTTGCAGGTTCACGGACTCCTGGTTTTTGAGCAGAAATTAGATTTCAGTCTATAACGGTTGGAAAGTTTTGAAGACGTCCAAGCGAGAGAAAACAACGATGACGAAGAAACGGCAATGAACCTTTTCATGCCTTTACTCCGCATTTGCATTACACCCGGGAGTACATGTAATCCAACAAGGATGCGAGACAACTTAATCTTGGGGCAGCAACTACAAAATTACCCGAAATTGTCTCACATACATGTTAGATAACATCATGGTTGTAATGCAATTGAGAAACGGCAGGTCTTTTTTTGCAGGGTGCAGGTTACAGGTTGAAATTTAATTATAACTGGAAAACCGCTGACACTAAAAATAATTAATAACCCTGATACTCGTCAGGGGTTCTTACATAAAGTAGTTCGACCCTTTCACATAGTGAAAATACGATCGATCCACCATAAGTGCTTATCGATCGACACGCTGAGACCAGTGAAATCTCTTCAAAGCCATCTGAATGGCCGCTCCACNTCTTTTAAGTGCCAGCGGTTTTCCAGTTATAATTAAATTTCAACCCGCAACCTGCACCCTGCACCCTGCACCCTGCAAAAAAACCCCGCCGATTGAGAAACGTTTACCGTGAAAAGAACAATTTGATTTTCTCTTCTCTTCTTCTTCGTTGGAATCAGCACACATCTGTCATTTTTATAGATTCATTTATCACGCCTACCGGAAACCTTATATTTCTCTTTGCGGTTTTTGCTACTTTGAGAAACACGCACCGAGGAAGAAGAATTCGTCTGGATTTCGTTCTCTTGTTTCCCTCACTTTTCGCGAGAAGGCACCGTTGTGTATACGTGTTGCTCTAAAAAAAAATCAACTTTCCGTGACTTCACTAATTAGATCGCACTCTAATCACTTTAACGATAATTCGATCTATAATTTCGCCCTTTTAACCTCACAAAAATGTTCCAAATTATCCGTCCTAGTTGTTGAGAAGATCGCACTGAAGTCTATTGTACGCGACTGAGAAAGAGGAACTGAAAGTGGTGTCAACACTTCTTGGGTTGATATTTAATTCATTCAACTACAATTCAAACGGTTTAATATTTTAACTGTAGAGGTCATCTGTGGTAGGTCCGGTAAATGTCATAGAAGTATAATCCCTAATGGCCGAAGTTCTCTTCAGCGAAAGGAGGTTAGAAATTACAAAGTGAACCTTTCTTATTTTCTGTCGGTAGTGCTTATCCAGCAGTCTGGCTGCGAGGGGGGCAATTTCAACACTTTTTCTGTCAAATTTACGAAAACCCCATCTAATGCGGGAAAATGTCGTCAAATAATCCAGCTAAATGTGTCAAAACCCAGCTAAATGTAACATAAACCCTTCTAAATGTGATTAAAAAACCCAGCTTAAGTGGCGAAAAACCAGCTAAATGTAGCGAGGGAGAACACGAAATCAGACAATAGTCTACTTTTATGAATCGCTGATTTTTTTCGCGCAAAAAAAGAAAACAAAACTTAAAATCTCGTGCAAGCAAAATCTTGCTCAAAAAGACCTAAAAATATACTTATAATCAGGTCGATCGAGTTACCGATGAATTAAATTCTTTCCAGTCATAGATTCCATATTCTGTACAGATGTTTGTTGGTGACCTTTTCCAGCATTCATTTAAGCAAGGGGGCAATTTCAACACGCGTTTCAGAAAGATATGACCACAAGCTATTATAATAATGCCTTTCTAGAACTAACTTTTCGCGTCCGTTTTACAGTCCAATATAAACAGATGATCGCTATAGAAAGTTTTTAAAGAAAATGTTTTTCAAAATTGATATTGCACAGTTTTATTTCACCATTTAGGGCCTCAAGCGATGGATTTGCGGAACAAAGAAATATTGATCTGCAACAAAATTCGTGAATTCAGAACTGGCACAGTTTTGAAACACTCTGCAGTACCTCGAAAAGACAATATTTATTTTTAAAAGTGTGTGAAACATTTAGCCAAACACAAATTTCGCTAATGTAGGCATTTACTTCTTTTAAGACTTCCTGTGGTCCCCTGGAGAAATGATATCAAATTTTGCGATCGTGACAAATTGCATGGCTTGTTTTGACAATTTAAAGACCGTGAATTAAGAGGGAGATTTTCATTTGTATTCAGAATGTATGCGATCTGATTTAAACAACTATCTGTCCAATCGCCTGTAGGAAAATGCTCCTGAGGTGAAAAAAAAAAAGCTGATGTACGTAAACAAAGCTCAGTCGCTTTTTAAAGTTTCTAGTTTCTAAATGTCGTCTCTCTTCCGCACAAACGGATACTTCTGAATTTCAACCATTTGCTAAAAGCGAAATAATGTCAACTCGAATCGGAAAAGTTCTCTTACCGCAGGGATCGCACTGGATCCCACATACAAGACCTTCCGAAAGACGTCATGACTTTTTGATCTGAACAAATTCATCCGTCTTGGCTGAACTTCGTTTTTAGGGGATCGTGCGAATGTTTTATACCTTTGCTCAATGCGAACTCGAATTAGACTCCTTTAATCTCAAAACAGTTAATCCACTTATAGAAGCTGAACGATTTCCCTGCCTGCATGCATTTATTAGATCTTACCTTCTGGAAGAGCGCTCTCCGAGGGAATCTGCTCAGAGTAAGTTCCCGCTTCGTGTCTCCCAACGTAGATACTGGAACCATCAACGGAATTCCATCTCAACAGACCCTCTATCGCTGCCACAACAAAACACAACTTTGCGAACCCCGTTGAAAGCATTTTTCAGGAGTAATGACGTAAATTTTGCACGCGCTCTGCACTGGAATGGTTTCCTTTCAATGTGATCTTCTTTCGTCTCGGGTGCTAAGAATGTATTTTTTTCCCCTGGATTCCCGTTTTATAGCAAACCCGACACGTCATTCCGAGGGCGTGACCTTTTAAAACAAGCAGGCGTGAAAGAATAGCAGACGATATTCACTCATTCCCAGAATTTCTATCATTTCTTGGCAAGCTTATGACATTGAGCTGCCTTATACGGCCTCACAAGAGACATCTTGATGAATTTCAATGTTATTTAAATGACTGGGTGTTCCGCACTCTGTGGTTCCTCCCTTTCAGACTGATAAACTAAATGACCCATTGAGATCTGAGTTTTCGGCATACATAGTCGGCATTCCTAAGTTATATCCCCAATCAGGTAAATTTGTTATCAAGAATTAGCAGAGAACAAACATTTCTTGTGTTCAGAACTTTCTGGCAACTTTTAGCTTTGTTGTAAATACTTCTCTCGTATCTTTTTTAACACGTAGTGAGGAATTCTTATATAATCTTTCCTGCTGTGATATTCAGCTCCTTTTGACCGGTCTGGATGTAAAATCCAGATAAGTTCTCACACAGAAACTCAAAAGTGTCTGATATCTTTTGTTTGTCAACTGGTTCTGTTTTTGGGTAACGAGCTTCTTGGTTTCATTTTCATGTAATATTCGTACAACTGGTGCCGTCCGCCAAACAGTTTCGTGGGTGGCAAAACTGTGACAAATGTCACTGTAGAAAACTGAAATAAATACCACTGATTTCGTGGATTGGTACACATCACCCGTACCATTATAATGAACTGGGTCAAGTGCGTAATTTAGAGGTGTGACTTACACAAAGATGTACTTTGTTGCTTTAGTATTTTATAATTCAGTTAGCAGCTGAAACAAATATTGTTACAATAAACAATTGAAAACGCCAATCAAAACTCGATGGGGTTCTAACTGAAGCAGTTTGAAGCATTAATTTCGTCTTTAAAATTTTGACCTCCAAAATTACAGTGTAATTGTTTTGGTTTTTTTTCAGCTCAGAAACGGGATTTTAAAATGGCTGCTGCCAGATAGGTTCGATGTGAAGAAAAAACATGATTTTTTTTTTTATCGAAGAGGCCAACAGTTCAAAGACTTGTCTCGCTGTGTTCATTTAAATTATCAAGGCAGCACGCAGTCTAATCACCCCAATTTTAAAGAGTGTCTGGAATGACAGACAACACAACACCCATTAGTTAGTTCAATATTGTCTTTTACAATCATGCACGAAAATTGCCCATGCAAGCTTTTTCTACCCTCTTGATTGTTGCCAATTTATTAGCCTCAAGTCACATGTGTTTCCTCGTGAATGTATGTGGGTAGGTGTATTCAAAATATTTCCGCAAATTTTTTTTTTGTGCGAACTTTCTTTTCCGCTTTCTCACAACAAGGTGACAGACAGAGGGCGTGGTCAGACAGATACTTGCGCGCCACATGCACACGTCTTGGTTCTTAACCCAATATGTTACGACATTTCTAGCCCTCAAAATTACGCAGCTTTAAATTGAAAAGAACTGCAAAATCATAATGTTTTCTAAGGTAGAAAAAGATCAAAACTGAATGATAATAACCAGGAAAACAAGCAAGGACTTTTGCGGCGGATAACGAACAACACATGCTATTTTCTTTCTTTCTTCTTCTTCTTGTTCTTCTTTACGAATGTGCAGTCTTTGTAGGGGATAAATTTACAGCGTGAAGTTTTAAATTCAAGTTTATGGATGAAACTCTGATGTTCACCCTTGTGGCTATTCAAAGAATAGCGAGCAATTCTTTCGGGTGGTCTTTTTTATTATGCTGCACAAGGTGGTTCTAACGTTTGACGTCAGTGGGTTGCTGTTTGACCATTCAAATAAAAGCAAAAGAGCAGCATTTTCGTGTCGGGCACTAATTATTGTGTTTAACAGGGTATGAAAGCTTACAGTGTGCGGTGACCCTTCAGATGAAAGCGTTTGCATTTTTCTTACGTAGTACTCTTTATTAGGCTGTATGGTGGTGATAACTTTTAAATATGTATGAAATGTTTGCCGGGCCTTATAAGGTCAGCACTATTTTCATGTGGATCTGTATACTGTGTATAAACAATTATTGGATGAAGTGTTTGTGATATCCGGAATAATCAAGGTTGAGGTAGAGTTTTTCAGTCGAAGCCGAAGGCTGAGCCTGATAACCCTTACCGAGACCTAGATTATTCTGGATATCACAAAAAACCGAATCAAATAATTGTTTTATTATACATTGAACGAAAAAAATGAGAGTCATGTTTTTGCCTCTTCACTGACGGCAAGCAACTCAAAGCGCGCGAAATTACCCTTAGAAATCAGGCGCTTCGGTCATACATGACATGATTACTCGTCACTTTGAGTGTCCTTCACATGATTATTGTATAATCTGCAGCTAGATGACGTCACAGGCGCTGATTTCGAAATTTCACTGTACGCTTTGGGCCAATCAGAAAAGAGAGAGTGAGTTCAATGGAAAATATTATGGGGTTATTGACCAAATGTGAAGTCAAGATGGCTGGATATTTGCTAAGTTCTTTTCTTTTTGCGTGTTTATGGACCGAGACGGAGCCTCGCCGAGGTCTGTAAACACGCAAAAAAAAAATGAGACCAATATCTAGCCATCATGACCGAACAGGTTTAGTCAATAAAGGATTTATCATATGGAAAAAGAGCACTATTTTCTTGCGGGACACAACGGGTAATCCCGAACGGGCATTTTAGCGCTATCTTGCCCTCTCGAGTAGCCAATCACAGCGCAGGATTGGTTCATCCCATCTGCTCACGAAGCTTAGCCATATAATAACAGTAAGTTTTTCAAGGAGGCGCGCAGGTCTAATTTCTAATGCTGCAGTTGAAATCTCTGAGTGTGACCATCCAAATGAAAGCTTTCAATAAATACCTTCACTTGATGCCGTGTGATTTTGTTTGTTTTTTATAATATATTCTTGTTTGTTTTTTCTTTGCTAATTGTAAGAGTTAGAAGATTATTTATCTTAAGTGGAGACCACTTATTCTGTAAAGCTGTGTGTTCTACAAGGCTTTAGACATACCATGCACTTTAAAGATGGCAATCTTCCTGAAACATTTCACTCTGAACATTTCAAGTCTTTCACTTTTTGGGTATTCTAATTTACGCGTTAACACCAGTTTCTCAAACAGCCGGCTCAAAACTTTTACAATAATGTTGACTCTGTGCACCATAAGAGCAGCATTAACCGAGGGAAGCGAAAACTTTTTTAAAAGAAATTAACGCACAAGAATGTACCTCCCGTGACCACCTGGATCAGTTATCCTTTTTAAACTTGTAATAAAATAGGGTGGAGACCCTCCTACTTACATCGGTTTAAAATAGGAATCAGTGCTTTGTGGTCAATGAGACGTCGTAAAGTTAAACAAAAACAAAGTGAACAGACCGTGCATCGACATGATCATTGAGGAATTCTCAAGCGTGATTAAGACACAAACTCATGCACACAAAAAAAAATCACTTTCATATCTGAATCATTTCAGTAAGACACAACAACATAATAGCTATAGTATCAAGCAAGGCGGTTCTATGTAATGTCTGGTTTGAATTAATTTGAGGCAAGCGTAAACCAATCCTTACACACAAGAAACGATGCGTCGGCTCTTGATATCCCGGGGGAGGGGGTACTCCCAGAAAAATTGGGTTGGGGTGTGCGGTCCGCTTCTCAAAACCGTTACCCTATTCAAGACCAAAATCTGCGATTTTCCCCCACTATATATTGCAAAAATGCGGTACTCTATTTATAATCAGTTACCTAGTTCAGACCAATGTTAAAGGCATTGTTTATATGCTTTTATTAGGTATGATAGCTTCTTCTAAAAATCAAACCCAATTCAAGACTAGAGTGCATAAGCTATACCCTATTTGAGACCAAATTTGCCAAATCGATACTCTATTGCAGACCGAAACGACTAAAACCTTACCCTTGGGGGCCGCAGTACCACCCTTCCCTCCCCCCTACTCTTCCGGGTTTGCTATGCATAAAAAGATGCATACTTTTGAAGTATTTTCCGTGCCCCCATGGCCCTGCACATAAGTTTCTTAAAAGATCTTGAGTTTTTGTCAAGATGCGATTAGGCGAACGCCTTTTGAACAATGTACTGTGTACGCATCGGTCGAAAGAACTATGCAATGCACAAAAACTAAATAGGATACTTGAAAGGTGCCTAATTGAAAAGAATTTCGCACACTGATCAGAACTCTGATAACAAGGTTAATTTTGTTCATTTTGTTTGCTACTTGGGTGAAAGAAGGAAACTGGCTTAAAGTCAAATGCAATGTCCATAGTTAAGTTCTCTTCCTAGGTCAGTTAGGGTGTTTATTTATTTGCAAGCAGTGTTTTCCTTCCTCCTTGAAACAAAATAACAAGAACAACATATATAATGCCCTGAGGCAAGTGCCTCAGTTCGCCTCAAATTAGCTACGACCCTGGTGGCAACAAATACCTCAACTAGATCGGAAGTGTCGATATTATATTAGAATATGGGATTAGATGACGTTAATAAGAAGTGCTCAGACTTAAGAAGTGATCCCGGATCACGCTGGCATAGCAGCTAACACTGTTGTTCAAATACTGAGTGCAGACTCAAGATCAGAAGAAAAATAATCCCCGCCTTATCAGAGCTTACAAGGCTTATAAGGACAGTGATAGCTCTTGTTGTAAGCCTGCTTGCGCGAAGATTTAAACTTATCCGCACGGAAACAGTAAGTAAATCGTTATGAAGTTTTCGTGTTCTTGAAAACTAACTATGCCAAATATCGGCATGATAGGGAAATAAATATTCTGTCCTTAAAGATGATCGTGACTAAAACACCACACGAGTACTGCGAGAAAAATACAGATACATACGAATACATTCAAATACATAGGAGCAACATACAATGGCAAGAGGGTAATACGCATGAAATCTGTCATTTTGCTATTTATTTTATGTCAGAGTGAACGGGTTACAATGTCTTGTACTATTTGTGTACACTCACACACCGCCGGCGCGCCACACAC